AGCTTGCCTTTGTTTTTGTGAGGTTATTGACGAATAACTTGGGAATGGATGGATTAATGCAGAATTAGAGTAGACTGAGGAACCTACACTACCCAGGAGTTAAAACATTTCTTATTGGTATGTACAACAAAAACCAGGCCTGTTGTTTAAGAACAGAATCAAACATAAAACTCTTTATTACACAATAAGAATCCTACACAGGAGATGGTATTACGGTGGCCAAATACAAGACTAGAAGTTAGTAAAGTAATGGAAGGAGTCAAGAAAAATATAACACAAAGACAGTCTCTGGCTGAAAACTATGAGAGCATTTTGGGGGAAGATTCATTCTTCAGTTGCTGTTTCTGGGCTCTTTGCTAATGCATCTACTACTGCCTGCTGGCATAAAGAGCATCCTAGGATGGACAGATCTTTTGGTTTGACACAGCACAGCTGTTCTTATGTAATACACAAATGCAGTGCCCTAATTAACATGGCATTATTTACACAGAAATGCCTGGAGACACAGGTGAAGAGGACTCTGTTAGTAATATGTCAGAAGACCTACGGGTTGCAGATATAAAGAAAGTTTCTGACTCAGGTAAACTGAAAAGTCTTTCTATTTTATATAAATCCATACATTTAGTAATTTAAGATGGATTTCTAAAATAAGCCCACATTGTAATGATGGTTAGAAAATGCAGAGACCTAAAAAACTTTTAAGGAGGGGATAACATCATAGTGATAACCATACTTTCAATAAATACAGGTGTATGTGCACATTTACAGTACTTTGCTAAGTTTCATAAAAACACTCTAGTAAGTAACCTTTTCAGAGATTCATTATCCAAGATGTAAAGAAGGAACTATTTGCTTAAGCAAGTTGAGTGCAAAGTATTACTGCATTTATTTTTACTTCTTCCCAAGGATTAGAATTGTTCAGTTTCCTGTGCATGAACTAATACGGCATTCTCTTTTTTCACAACATAATGTGATCAGTATTCAATATGATTGTGTAAATGCTTGTGTCAGGGGATGAAAACTTAATTTAAGAGTATCAGTACTAGCACTGAATATGAAGATCATATGCTCTTTACAAAGAAACACTATGGTTTACATCTGAAAGCATAACTTTCAGGGGAAGCGGGAGTTTAGCATTCAGCTAGAGACACACACGAAAGTCTCGAAGGCTCACAGATTTGACTCTCCCCAACATAGGACCTCTTTCAGTAGCATAAGGCAGAATATTGTCTAAATTAGGCATTAAGGAGTAGTCTTACAGAATTTTAAATGGTCTAACATGAACTTGAAAGATTTTAATGTCGAAAATCTTCTGACAGATGATGTTACTGTAAATACTACTCCAGAGAATCTGGCAGCTCTGCATATAACGAAAGAAACAGCTATCACAAGTAAGTAAAGACATGGTTGATCACGAGAGGTAATTTGAGGTACACTGGACAGTAGTATTCTTGGTTTAGCATTCAAGAGCAATTACATTTATTGACTTAAATTTATTAACAAAGAAATATGTAACTGGCCTTTTACTAGATCACCATGGCACTTGAGGCATTCATTTGGGAAAAATAGGTTGTCGTGGAAAGTGCATTACCTATAAAGACCTCATTTTGAGAGAGACAAAAATATGTAAGAAATCATAAATAGTACTTTGTGGGATCCAGTTAAGACTATTTGTAAAATGCATCAAATTCCATTTTCCCCAATCAACAAGTAAAATTTCTACATATATATGAACAGTAGTAAGACACTGTAATTACACATAGATTCAGCAGTGCCACTAAACTGTCATCTGACATAGTTTTCAACTACCTGCAGCTACGTAATATTTTAACTTTTTGGACTGAATCTTCCAAACCAGTTATTTAAGATAAAGTTAACTGAATACTAAAAGTAAAGTTCTAAAAACTCATTTTTGACACTAACTTTCCTTTAGGATATGTGTGCTAGACACTTTCTCAAATATATGGATTTTAATTGCATATTTTGTTTCTGGATAATTGTAATTGCAATCTGATTTGGTTGGCAAAGGTTAAAACAGCAAATGTTTCAGAAGCGTCTGTGGTTCAGCCTATTCACTCTGAAGAATACTGATCAAAATGCTGTGGCAAAAAAATGGTAAAACCACCGCACTCCATCTTGATGAGGGTTTCCAAAAGTCTTTCCCTTGCTTCCAAATGAATAATACAGACTCAAGTTATTTTATCACAGGTGGTAAAAAACCACTTAGACTTTTAATGTTATTTATGGTAACATAATTAGGTATTCTATAAAGCAGAGAAAAGATGCACACTTTTTCCACTACAATATCACGGAGACCCTTTACTCTCTAACTGTGGTACATGCCTTTCTTAGACAGTTCAAATAAATTTAAAGTGAGGAACTGGTAAGTAAAGAGATTGTATGTATCCCTATATTCATAAATTTACTTGCTGATAAATAGTGAAAAAGACAATCAGGCAGGGATATCATATCACATTGGTTCTTTGATATCAGTAGATGTCTGACAATCGATAGCCTTTAGGATGTGACTGCTTAAAGACTACTCCACATTCAACACAACTTTCATAGAAGACTTTCTCAACAAGCAGGCAATTATAATTTATATATACTCATGTGCCTTTTAAAAAAAGTTTAAATTTAAAAACAATAATCTGACATAAATAAGAATTTAGAAATTCAGGTAACCTCGTGTCAGGGCATCTTCCTAATGTAGCTGATGTACACGAAGCTAATGTACTTTGCAGTCAGAGTTACACATATACTTGTCTAGATATATGTTAGCTAGCCTCGGCATACAACTGCTTTCTGGCAACCGCAGCTGCCTAAATGTGCAGAGATGCTCAAGCTCCCTCAGAAGTGCATGTACTTCTCCTCATCTTACATGTGGATCTGAGTCATTAAGCACAGTAACATTGTCGCCACTGCCAATCGTTATAAACAGTCCAATCAGCTTTGTCATACTCTAGTAAGGAAAAAAAATTATGACAGTATTAGTCAAAAGACAAATGCACCAGTTTCAGGAAAATACCTAGTTATTTGATATTTCCTTGTATTGTTTTTTTCCTCTGCCCAAATGAACTTTCTAGTCAAAGAGCAGAAAGTGCCCACCTGAGGAGGAGCAGACAGGTACATAAATCCTTACGTGTTCTTCTGCAGGCTGCTAACAGTTGGCGGAAATGTCCGTGGCAGCTCCGCGCTGGAGCAGCTTTCCCAGCAGCCGTGCCGGCAGAGGGTGCACGAGCATCACAGCAACCCCAGACCCACTTCGGTTTTTGCAAAAGGGGCCACTGTATATTTTTCTCTTTTGTGATAAAAGATACTCCTATTAAATCAATCTGGGAACAAAACCTTATTTAATAATTTTGACTGATGTTTTCTATTTCATGGGATCACTTTTAAGGACACTTAATTCCAGAAATCTGTTCAGAAAAGCCAATTGCTTCAGTGTGCACTGGCAGCAGTCAGTCAATTCAAACTCTGTGTACATGTACGTTCCACGTGCGTCAGGCTTTGCAGTACGACCACAGACTGTATATAGGTGTTTGATTAAAGCCGAAGTGCCATGGGAAACAATGGTGGAGATGAAAACAAGATTCTAAGGAATGCCAGTAGCCTGATGTTCTTAAAAAATATCTACAGCAAGTATTTTGCTTCCAACTTTTTCAAATTACTTTTCTTGTCATTATTAGGATTTTTGGTGCCCTGCGTACTTCACTGTGTGACCCTCTCATGACAAATTTGGAGTAAGTCATGACCCTGCCAAGACAGATTCCTAAGCAAGGGCTTTTTAAAAATTGGTTGTTTAAACTCAAGATCTTAATCTGGTACATACTTGGGCACTATTGTTATCTTCTTTTGAACGTTTACTGCTGTGTGCTTGGAATTTTAAAATGTACAGACGTAAAGTCAGAAGATAATGTTTTAATACATATGCCTCAGGCTGGTGTGAAGTAGAGTGTTTCAGAGAAGTGCAAACCCAAAAGTTCTTGATTATTTGCTGGCTTAGCCCAAGGCATCCTCAGGCTGCAGACACGAACTCCTAACTGCATCGAAGTTGTCCGCATCCAGTCTCATCCATCTGCATGGCAGAGACTGCAGCAGCTTTGCAAGCTGTTGGAGAGTAAACATAGGCCAGAGACTGAAAATTTTCCCTAGGTTTGACATCTCCCGCTCCCCTTTTATACTATACAAGACACACATGAGAGTAAGGATTAGGAGACAAATTACTAATCTTGCCTCATGAGTCAGAAAACAGGATAAATAGTGACAGTGACAGAGTGCGAAAAGAGAACAGAGCTTGTATCAGTCTAAGCGGGTAAAAGGAAAGACTGTGACAGCATTGCTCTGGTGGCCTCGTGAGCAGTGCTTCAAACGCAAAGTAGAGATTAAGCATATTTGCTGGCATCTGTCTATGGCTTCACTAAATAATGTGGACAGAGCCACTGTGTTTTATCCATGGCAGAAACTGTTGATGGTTTGTTCTGTTTGGCTCAGCCTTGCTCTCCTCGTGCCCTCCCTCCAAAAACTCTGAACAGTGGCTTAGAAAAAAAGCCAGGCTCCCTACCCACATTCTTGGCTCACCAAGAAAAAAAAAAAAGAAAAAAAAAGAAAAAAAAAGGCACATGATGCTGGTCACATCGTAAAGACCGTCTGATACAAACAAGGCCTTATTGATTTGGGGGATAATTTTTAATAAAATGGCTCTAGATTATGCAATATTCTTGAATGGACTGAGAACAGGGTGGGAGGCAGAAGCAGCTGTCATCGATCCACAGTGTGGCCTTCACCATTTAATCTTTGTACAGCAGTGTCCTCACCTGGAAAGGAGGATCAGAAAGACCACTTGCATCATCCACCTGTCCTGGGGCGGAGGGGTGGAGTTGTCCCTTAGCACCAGAGGGCCAATGGCAGAGGAGTGGAGATCTCCTCCCCGTGGAGGGGAGCCCAGGGACGCCTCTGTCACCCTGCCCAGCTGTGTGATGTCAACCTTCCGCAAGCCACAGCAGGGGGGGTGTTCTCGGGACAGGCATTTAGTACTTGTCTTTATCATGCAGGCAGGCAGCCTTGCAGATCAAACATCCAGGTGCAGCACCCTGATGCAATGTCAGGACCCTTGCCCCTTTTGGGGCTAATTCAGTGACTCTTGGCATTGGTCACTTGGGAGTCTTCCAATAATGTCAGTACGTATTGAAGCACCCCTTACGAAAGTTGCTATCTTGCCTGTTCTGCTGCATAGAGGTTCACCAGTTACAATATGTCTTAGAACCACAATCAGCAAACTATTTAACAAATTCTGATCCAGGTTTAAATAACTTCAGAGTTATCTCTTAAGTTTAATCCATAAACTTACATTATGCAACTGTTACATGGTGTTCTGGAATTATTTTAATATAAAAGTGCACATGCTCTACTCTTAAGCCCACTACTGCAGAGAAATGGCAGTTTTAATGTGTTAAGAGATGAAATCTTTAACAACAGTTATCATTAACGGCATCCTGAAGTCAGTGATCCTCAAGACATAACTCAAGACCTCCTTAGTTAATAAGAACTCTAAATTATTTTTTTTTGCAGAAATCATTGAAGATGAGGGGAACTTTGCCAACTCCACCCCGGCAGCTCTGGAAGCTACACAAATAAAGAAGGAGACAATTGACATAGGTAGGTAAAGACTGTGTCCTGATGGTTGTAACAGCACATTCTACTTTACTGGGAACTGCAGATTTCTAAGGTTCATATGTTATTCCCACACATTATATTCATTCTACTTCTAAATTATGATAAAATCTGTTTTCTGTTTGACTTCGTAGTGCAAAAATGCATAAACACTTATTTCTCCTTCCCCCAATTAATAACAAGATCTTACTTTCCCAGACAACATACTCCTTATTATGCTAGATGTGATAAGTCTGCATCCGATTGTGACAAATACTGTTCTTTTTCATACACAGTTGCTGGAGAGCTAAACAGCTGTCTCAGAAACACTGAACATTTTATGCCTTGTCTGTCTTTTCAAACTACTTCGTGACAGTGCATTTAATTCCAGACTATTCACTATCAAACAATCGCCATAAATATTCTGAATTATTTTACAAGTAAAACTGAAATCAGAGCCTCAGCAATATGTAGAAATCATACATTCAATGGCAAGTATTCAGGAGAAGATTTGCTTTATTAAAAATGTTAAAATTTAACATTAGAATACAGTAGGGATATTAATCTTCTGGAATAAATAAGCATAGAAACCATGGAAGGTCATGAAAAAAAAAAGGCATCAGAGGAAATAACGATGACATTGAAATCTATTGACCTGACATCCTGGATTAAAATATACTTTACAGTAGTGCTGTCTACACTCAGAAGTTAATGGAAAGAATAAAAAATTCTATTATAATGATTCTGTGAACAAAAATTCTTTGCCCTTTTACACTGAAAGCTTCTATCAGAAGAATATTTCTATTATATGCATCATTATTTCTGTGATCCAGGCAAAGGCTTCCTTCTCAGCAATTATGCTACCTTTGTCTGGAGTTTGGGTGTTGAGACACTGGGACTACAACACTGAGGACATCATCAGTGCAATGCTATCGCAGCAATGACATAGAGAAACACAGGTTACGCTGAGGATAAAGTAAAGCTGTGTCCCTGAAAGTTCAGAGACATAGCAAGGTCACGGAAATGCAAAGAGTTCACACACAATGACACAGAATAAAGTGTCATGGAAATCAACTGACTGCTTTATACGCACACATTCCCTGTTCCTGTCATGTAATTTCCAATGGAGGACAGCACTCACACAAGTCAGCAGTACGCACGTGCTATTGCCAAAGGCAGAAAGAGATTAGAGAGCCAGCATGGCCGAGAGAATGAGCACATAAATGAAAGCAGTGAGGGTTTTTGGTAATAGTTAATAAATCAATCAATCAATCCAGAGCCCAAGAGTAGACCTGCTGCTCCATTTTGGCTCAAGGTTGTATTTCCGATAGCTGTAAGTGTTAAAGGAAGATGCCAGAATTTTCTTAAGAGTTTTGGACTAGCCTATGAAAAAAACTTTTTTTCTAGTACCCCAAGTAAATCACACATACATGCTTATGAGAGTATAATTTCTAAGTTTTCCGTAAGTATAAAATTTATTCCTGCATATGGCTTAGGAAAACAACGATTTGCCAAATCACTTAAGAGAAAGCAAGTTATAAAGCAAATATGAATTCCACGTACTACTCTGTGCCTATGTTAACAAGTACCATTATGGAAAGCTCAAATGAACCACTGCTTATTTACTAACAATCTCTTATTTCCAAGAGTCTAAACCACATACTCAGTTCTTCAAAACATATAAGGAATATTTACTTTTACCGTTTACTGAAAACTGTATTGAAGAAAACTGGTCTATGACATCCCCTACCAAAACGAGAGAACTAACCTTTCTGTCCCTCACAACCCAGAAAATGATTCCACACAGAAGTGAACGTTCAGCCTCAGAGAAGTCCAAGCATGAGGAAATGAGCCCAAAGACAGCACAGCTGGGCTTTAATGCTCAGATGATTTCAAGAATTCCGAGGGCTTCCGAAGGGAATCGGTTTTATGCTGTGAAAGACTGCAAAGCTATTATAACCTCAGCTCTGCAGAGGGAAAAAACCTGGCATGTAGACATGCAGAAAAAATAATATAATGATGTTTCTATGCAGTTAAGAGATGGAATTTTGAAGAGAACTCAGTTGCTGGTAGAATAAAAATAGTTCTTCTGTCTTCCCTGTTTTGTCATTTAAGGCACATAGAATAGTTTGACATAGAGCTATCCCTACATAAAGTGCAATTTAAGCTGAGACTAAAGATTTCCCCAAAACCATTAATGAATTATTTTCCAATTTTTCTTCTGCTTCTGTTATCTCCATCACAAAAGCTCTGTATCAGAAACTAGCCTTTCACCCACAAGTAAACAAACATGACTGTCTCCTCAAGGAAGGCAAAAGTATGCAACCTTCCCCACAAAACCTCACATCCTTCCCTAGACTCCCTCCCAGAGTGAGGGGAAGGCACTTCTCAAAGCCCAGCTTTGAAACCCACCAAGGCAGCTTACTAAAATGGACTCTTGAAACACTTTTTTTTGGTGGTAAAAAGGAGTCCTGAATAGAGGAGAACAAGTAGGAATAAGGAGCAAAGGTCTCTCTTCAGTTTTTACCGTACCAGGGAAACTCACAAAGATCTCAGAAAAGCATGTCGTTTCGTGACAGCGGTGGGGAGCATGCATGACCCCACGAAGGGAAAGGCTGCAGTCCAAGCCCTCTTAGGTGTGAGTGAGTCCACGGGTGCCGTGCCCTTACAAATGACACCAAAGCCCCACTAAGCCCACCCTATCCACATTGCTTAAGAAAAAACCCGGTGCTAATCCATGTGTACAAATATGTCATGCAAATTGACTTATATGTAAGATACAAACATCCACGTATGCCTACGTGTTTAATCGAGTGTTTTAAATCTGTGTTGCATCCACAGCTACCTTTTGGGGAATCCAGGGGCTGAAAGAAAGATAGGGCTTACAAGAAATGCCACTAAATAATTTGGTTTAGGGAGGCATGGGGCAGAAGACTTGTTATAACTAATGGGTTAGACTAATGGGCTATGACATTTTTAATTGAAGATTGGTGTTACCTGCAGAGGATGACAGTAATATTAGCAATTTATTTGTCCAAGTCTACTTTATTTAAAACTGTGTGTTTCTATAGATGATGATTCTATAAGCACTACCTCAGAAGACAGATCTTGTACGCCAGTAGCAAAACGGATGGTCGGGACAGGTGAGTATTAATTTCTATGCATTTATTCTAAAACAAAATTGCATTGTAATTTCAGTACCAAAGCTGGAGCAACCAGATATCTACTGTAAACACAGCTCTACTTTTCTACATCTGACTCCAGTCTAGCTTTACCACTAAACTTGAAAATTAGTTTCATAGCTCTATTCCCTCTCATGAGCATAACTTGCATTAATACTATAGTTCAATTTTGCATTCTTTACTTATCTGATGAGCAGCATCTGCCTACTTCTGAATATGTAGGTAAGAGTTTTTTCTTCTATTGAATCCCCAATAGCATTTTCATTTGCATGATATTTTGCCTTGCCATTCTAATTTGAAACCACACTGGAAAGTTATTTTCTTATCAATGCTGATATCTTGTTGCTTTAAAGTTTAAGGCGTATTGCTTTCCTGCATGTAGCACTTGGATATATCCGTCTCTAATTTGACAAAAGCAACAAAATTACACTGATAAAATGTGGAATTTTAGCTGCCTTGGAGAAACAAGAGATTTCGCTTGCTACATATATTTTGCATACTTAAATTTAATCATGCGTGGATATTAACATTGTAAAGTTTAAAGATTTTCATAACAAAAGATTATTATAAATATTAATTAATCCTTTAGCTTCTTACCAAATCATTAGCTACAGTTACACTTTAATGTATGTATATGCAGCAATACTCAGTTGTCATTTCATTTATGTTTTCAGACAATCACATGCCCTTGGAAGAAGCACAAAATCACTTTAAAGTTATTACAGTTAATGACACTGGAGCAGGAAAACACTGGAGTGATAATGAAGTCAGAGCTCTGATAAACATATGGTCAGATGAAAAGATACAACAAATGCTTGAAGGGGCCACAAGAAATAAAGAAATATTTGAGGAAATTGCCAGAAGGTTAATGAAACGTGGTATAGACAGAGACTGGAAACAATGTCGCACAAAGTACAAGAACCTAAAATACGAATACCGTGCACTGCAGAAGGAAAATGAGCATCTTGGTAATCCCAGGAGAAAAATGAGATTTTATGATGAAGTTGACTGTATCTTAAGACGACAGCCTCTGGGTCCCTCGAGCTGGGGATGTGAAAGTTCAAGTATCCTATCAGGTACTACAAACTTCAGTGATGAGATAAAGCGCTTAAAATGAAACTTAAAACTGCCTGTTGACCCATGCTGTAGGGGTGAAATACATGGCCAGAACGGGGAGGGAAAATAACTGAAGAACCTGTATCTGCATGGTCACGTAGGCAATACTCAGTGAACAGAAATGGTGTTTGAAGGAGTTTAGAAGCGAGAACATTAACAAAAAGTGAAAGCACCTGAAGTGTCCATGTTATTGGAGAATCTTTTTGCTTTTGGAAGCTTAAGTGAGACACAGTGAAATGGTGTTACAAATCGTGGCAGGTTTTAAAGGTGATCTAGCAGGCATGTAAAGTCTTATGGATAGAGAGCTGCAAGTTTGTACCATTTAGAGCTGCAGAAATCCGTATCATACCATTTAGAGCTACAGAAATCCGTAACAATCAAGCCAAGTGCAAGGAGTCCAAAAAAGCAAACTTCATTAATTCAATTCACACCACAGTCACGAGAGAGAAAAATCCAGGGCAGTGATATCTATCTGAGCACTCGTAATTATTATATTAATTTTGCTAAAGCAGAATCAGTTTTCTAAATAGCATTTGCTTCTATTTTAGTATCAAAAGACCTCTGATTTAGGAACCACACAGACAGCCTTGTGGCTGCTGCAAGGGTTCTCATGACTGGCCAACTGCTCCAGCTCACAGGGGCACCTGCCCCTGCTCCAGGCAGACCACGTGCTCTTGTAGAAGCAACTTAACCACTGCAGCTTACAGCTCAGTGAGTTACGGTAAACCAGAACTAATTCTGATTTTTCTCAATATGTTAGCTAATAATTTGCAGTGTCACAAATGTTAGTTGAGGATTTGAACCATTTCTGCAGCAGAGGCCAGATGGACAGCTTGAGCAGAAACTGCTGGAGCCATCCTTAAGCCAGCTGTCCTCAGCCATGAATCAGAGACATTTTCTTCCAAATCCAGAAACTTAAGATATTACTGCTCATTTCTGCTCTCTGTGAATATTTGAGCCAACCTGGCTGTTTTACATTTTATCATGCTGGAAAAGGACTGTGATGTGAATGCTGATGCAGGAGACAGTAAAACAATAACCTTTCAGAAAGAAGCTTTAGTTATTATACGCTGTTCGAGGCATCTACCAAATGTCTGTAGCCTGATTTTGTGTGCCAACCCGGCACCTAACTTTTCCAGAAGATTCTCATTGCTCCAGGTCACTTGTCCCAATGCTTTTGTAGGATAAAGCTTTTTGGTGTGTGACTGACTGTGCTTTAAGAATCTCTGCAAAATATTTAGTCACCTTGCTTTTCTCTTCTAAGTTTCAGTGGGAGATGTTACAGCACACACAGGATCCTTGAGTATCAAGAGAAAAACATGGAATGATGGTAAGAGCCCCTGACTTTTTAAAGCATCTATACACTGCTGTTGAATTGGATGCCAGATTCTAGTTTCCAGTAGTCAAACAGTTTAAAAAAAAAAAAAAAAATCCTAGCACTTAACACCAAGCTCCAAACCAACATTCTTCTCTCACCCTCAACAATCTGCAAAAGAAGAGTCCTGATAAAAATATGGGCCAAAGGAAAACTGCAATTTATTTATTTCAGTCCTCATCCCTGGTATAAATGAGGTAAACATCACGAAATACTTCTTTGATTTTTAAGAATCAAGTGCAATGAAATGATAAAAATATTTTAAAAAGAAGATGTTTTAATTACCTGTGTTGCTCAGAGGAAAATAGGGACAATATCATAGTCATGGTTGAGGTTTCCTCATATTATGTGTTAGTAAATGAGAGGAGAAATTACATGTTTAGACATACAATGTCTAACATGTACAAGAGAAAACAAGTTAAGACAGCTATTCCAAAGAGAAGATATGGTATAGAATCACTGAGAGAGAAAAATGAAGGGAGGGATATAAATACGCAGCATGCAATCAGATACAGGAAAGGCCAGGAGCTTCTTCCTAGCAGAATTGTCAGGCCCTAAATAATCAAAAAGTCCAACAGTAAGGAATGACAAACTTAGTTTTTAGAAGGCTCATCCCTATTTTTAGTACTAAAATGATGTCTTGTCTACAGATAGACGAACACAAACAGATTCGAACACCACATTTCTGAATTCAACTGCTCAGTTCACCATCACAAACTGTGCTAACAGGGCTAACTCTATGTGATTGAATATACTTTAATTTATTGACTATTAGATAAGCACGTCTTGCAGAAGGCAGTAGCTAGGCAAAGCTGAAAGTTTCAAATATGAGTGATTTTACAGGGTCTGCTTCATTCCTACTCGCTGTTATACAATGACCCCTTATGCAACACCAGGACACAGCTGCCAAGACAGCATAACAGGACAGCATTAGGAAAATCCAGCATGTGCTAAACTCCAGTGTCAGCAGTTCATTGACTTGTGCACTCTAACTACATACTTTGCTTTTGTCCACAGAGGTATCACCTGTTCCACTTAAGAAAAGTGCTTCTGAAAACACCATACTCCACTTCCAAAAACTATTAACAGAGAGAGTGCGCACAGTAACAGAAGGCAAAAAGTTACTGTTAGAAAGGCTTTGTAAGCAGGAAGAAATGCAAGACCTCAGCAGAACACAGCTGTATGCAGACCCATCAGCCATACAACAGGTTGGTTAAATGAACTTTCTACAAAATTAGCATGCAAAGGGATTCTCTCAGATAGTGAGAAATTAAATAGATTTATTTATGAGTGTAGGTCACCCACATGAGTACATGCTTGCTCCCCTTTAATATATTCACCTTCAGTCATTTAAACTAAAACAAGGTACGAGTTCCCATCATAATCCTTAACTATGAGCTCTTAGCAGTGAGGTCAGTCTAATAAAAGATAAAACCTCTGCCTACATGCCTTGGCTCACCTATATGCCACAATTAACAGGCTTAATTGAAAGAAAATAAGACTTTTGACTGATCAAAGAAAACATGTACAGTTAAAATTTCATCCCATCATTTCCAGTTACCACCTCTATGACCTTCTTGGCAAGTTAGTCCTCTGCAATCAACCAAACAGTTGAGGCCATAAGAGAACTTTTTGGTTAGGCATGGCTGGTGGGGAAAACACACCACTTAATTCCTCTATCAGCATTTGCCCTTCTCCTAGCCTCACCACCTGACTGTGCTGGGGTGGTGGACCATCCCCATCTGCCTGCTGAAGGTCTGGTGCTGTGCAGCAATGAACTGGAGAATTCAATGAGCCAGAAAGAAAGTACACAAAGTTGATGCCCACCTAGAAGGGGCAGGCATGGGTTCTGGTTCCTGTTCTGCACTGGGCAAGGGGTCTACCTTGACCAGCAACCAAACGAAGTACAGAAAACACAGAAACAGTGCAGGAAACAATGACATGGTAGGTGACAAATGCCATGCCATAACTAACCGTTACTCTGCAAAATCCTACTAGGCACTAATTCATTTTGTGATTGTGTAAGTACTCTACAGCCTGAACTGCCTGAAAGGCATGCATTTCCAGGGTTTTCCTTCCAGTCTATTCAAGCAGAACAACTAATTTCTGGATCTCAGTCATGTTTGGGCACAGACCTACACTGCCCTGCCAAAGCTGGGTCAGTTCTGGGCATGCTCAAGGGCACCACTGAAGTCAAATTGTCAAGTCCTTACTGCAGCAGCAACAACAACCAGGTTTTTTTATACCCAAAGGCCTAAATTCCACCCAAGTCCCTCTTCACAAAATCTTACACGAAACTATTACTCAATATAGTGCTTTGGTTATAGTGCTCTATGGTTAGTTAGTGCTCTGGATATAGCGCTCTATGGTTCATTATTTTCTTGTTAATTCTTTTATGAGAGACATTACGAAGGTAAATAATTTCCACCAAGGTAGATCTTACCTGCCATTTGACTAGCATTTTAAAAACAATTCTGAGAAGTCAGAGAAAGTTCCCTGGAAAATCATAGTTTTTTGATCATATTCATTTATACAGTGACACGACATACAGTTGTTCCAGTGTATGCTTTTCTAACACGTTTCACATTTTACACTGGTTTCTCAGTATAAACCTTCTTGGGCTTGTAATACTAGTATCATCGTTGGTTTAAAAATCTTTCTTCTCTCTTTGCAATGAGTTGATTCAAAGATACATCCTTGAACTTGCATCATATTACTTGCATACAGAACTGCTGTCTTTGGTAAGAGAACAAGGGATGTGTCCCTGCCATCACGGCAGTCAGGTACCCTTCTAGAACATGCTGAGCCAGCTAAAGACCTCGCCATTCCTAGCAGTACTAAAATCACAGGTTACTCCTTCCACATGTGAACCAGAAAAAAATGTGTGATCCAACCCTAATTCACTCTAGTACATTTAAGCAGTTTAGTCCAATTTAGATTTAAATTAAGTTTTCAAAATAACTACTGAAAATAATATGGATCACTTACATGTTCTGCTCTACCTGCTCCATTCCATGAGTACAAGGCTGAAGTTGCATAAAGCAGCTGAAGCTGATTTGATAACTCACTGCAACAAGAAGATGCCCTTTCTTCCATGCTACTCTCAGCAATCTGATGCTAGCTGGATCCCTATAAACCCGTTCAGCTCGCTAACCCGACACAAGACTAGCCCAGTTGGGAAAAAATAAACAAAATGGTTTTCTGCGTGTTGAAGCAGCCCAGCAAGTTCTCAGCTGTGCTAGCCCTAACTTTGAGCAGCTCAAAGGTTGTTTTTGTTGCAGTATGACTGCCTTTGCAGAAGAAAAGCTAACCTGAAGGAGGCAGTTAGCACTGCAAAGATGCAAACTGCACTTAAAATTCTGAGTGATGCATAAGGATCCCAATCTTTCCAAAACTTTGCTGTCATTCAGTAATGAATCTTTCTCTTCTTCCAGAAATTAAAAAATAAAGACTTATCTTATTCATTAAAATAAGCAGATTTTTCAAGAAAAATGTATCGGTTTTTAAATGCTGTTGTTCAGGTGAGAACTGCACAAAAGCACTGAGGCAAAGGACTACCTAAATTCCTAGTAGGTCAGAGCAGAGAACTGCAGAGCACACTTGCAGTCTCTACTTGGAAACTGTTCTTATCAACGCTAGAGGGTAGACATGAAGCAAGAACTGACAGAAAAAAAGGAACACAAGTGGCTTTCCAAGTAAAAGTGGGTTGGTTTTTTTCTCAGAAAACTTTCCAGAGAGTGGGATTTACCTGACAAACAAATGTCCAAAGAAGGTGGACTTCCCTTTGGATGGGATGCCACTTCTACTCTGCTTTGTGGCTGCAAAGCATAGCTTGCTTTTTTGCAATTGTTTTGTCAGAAAACTATCTCCTCCTTTCCTGCTCTTCACATTTATTTTTGGTCAAAGATGGTAAGAGATGTCAAGTGCATGGGGCATTTGGCATCATCTAATGTTTATGTGCTACTCTCATTTATACAGATAACAATTAATTTACTTGAATATGTAGGATGCTGAAATAGATAAATCAAAGTGGCATCAAGACAACCTTTCTTGGCTGCAGTTGTAGTTATGATTCCATAAAACTTCTTGCTTAGCAACAAAACAACATGCATGTTGCACATTTAGAATCCCGGTTGTCTAGAGCTGTGGTCTGTCTCCTTTTGACAGCATCTCCCAGGGTAGTGACAATGGGCTAAACAGAATGTCGCTAGAGTGAAGGATTTCTCAAAAAAAGTCCCTTCAAAAATAGCCTTAGTTAATCCAACTCATCCTACCAGTGTATTTTTATATGCACTTGAACGTGTGCTGTGGCTCTGCTCTGATCACAGCTTTACATTTATTACAGTCACACAGCACTTAGTCTAGGCACACTGATGGGCAAGTTAAACGGAACTTGGGACACCATCTGACACACGCTAAATGGTTATGTGCGAGAGCACTACCCTAGGACTGAAAGGGTTTGGGAGGAGAGGCTTTCTTAGACACAGGTCCGCAACATGGTTCCTTTTTAGCAGAAAGGCCAGCCAAGTTGTTTCCATGTAACTGCTACTGGGAATACCAATATAAATTACATCATGAAAATGATCCAGCTTAAAAATCAAAACCAACACTAACTAATAATGGCAAGAGCAGCAATCCTATAAAAACCAGAGATCTTTGCTCTTCTCCCTCCTCAAATACCTGCACCATTACCAGGGGGCCATTCAGATTACTGTGAGGGCGAATCTGTCTCCTCTCCAGTTTGCAAATGGCAATACTGAGATTTTTCAGGTGTGGCAGATAAATGGAGAAATCACCACTCTGACCTAGATTAAAAAGTTCCATTCTTCTCTAAAGCACACTCATTCACTGAGATGAATGGGTCACTTTACACTTCTTTGATAGGGCTGTTACCCTGGAAAGTCCTCCTGAATGCCCCATTTAGATTATTTCCTGGTAGACCAAACTATATTTGGGCCACATGCCTAGAGAATGAGCTTCAGGGACCAGAAATGCTTGCATTGTTGGTGGATCCACAAGCACTATCAGCATCACTGTCGGGCTTAAAAGACTCTCCCTCCAGACTCTTGCTTTCTTTCCTTCTCCTGCAGCAAGGTCTCCTTGGCGTTGGCACAAGCACTCATGGGGCCAAGTGGTTAACCAATTGACAGAACTGATTTCAATTAAAACTAACCTAATAAAAAGCCCCTCCAAACAACCCTGGGTTTTTTAAGTTCAAGGAAAGTAGTGTAAGACACGGCAGAAAGAGCAGCCGGGACAGATTATTTGAACTGAACTACCCAGCATGAACCTCCCATGCTGTGTACAACCCTCCCTCCATGCATTAGGCTCAAATTTAAGGTATGGGCAGAAAAGCCAACAGAACAATCCTGTGAAAATTACTGGACAGCTCTATCATGCCTACATGGATGACTTAACTACAGTCCATGTGAAGAAAAATGAACAGTCTCACCCCACCTCTAAGGCTAGGTTAATGTAATGGAAAGTCTGTTGGCCATAATAAACATAATGGCTGTCTCTGAAACGTCCTTGTGTATATACGTTTTGGCACCACTTCTCGTTTTTCCACTCCTCCTTACATTATCTTATTATTCCCGTTGCTTACTCTGCATCCAGAGGTAAGAGCCCAGACCAAACTGCATTTTGTGAGATGTACATCTAAGAGATTTGAACTTGGCTACAATGGAAATCTGGCTTATCTTCACCTTCTGAAAACGAGCATGCAGGAACCTGAGCCCTGCAGAAAGTTGTGTATAACAACCAAGCGAGTGGATGTAACAGCTCGCCACAGCAAAAAAGGGTCTCGCTCCTCCTCTCTTCCTGCAGGCGTAAGCTTTGCGGCTTGTAAATTAACTGGGCTGTCAGGACCTAGCAGCACAGAATAGCCTATAAACATAAACCAAGATAGAACTAAAAGATAAAGTGTTACTATATCCACATTCAGTAAGTGTCTCTGAAAGTACTCAGGAGTGTTTTACCAGCAGGTACCAGCTGTATGGTAAATGGTAAAAGAGCATACAGACTCAATCACTAGCTAGACAAACATCTCAGCATTTAGACAATTCAAACATTTAACACTGCAGTTATTGCATCTGGGGATGGGGGATCTGCTGAACTCATAATGTGTTCTTGAGATGAAACAAAAAGGTAAATATCTAAACTACCAAATTACCAGGATTGTTACCTGTAGCATATCTCTGTTCCTCAGAAAATTACCATGCAAATACTATTGCAATTTCAAGCTTTTTGCCTGAAAGACTTACAGTGTAAGACAGGATACTGACGGCTTGCTAAATAGCCTTTTAAACAAACCTATCTTGTAGCCAAGAGGTTGTATATAAAACAGGAGATAAACACTTTCATTATGCTATATTGAGTGTACATATTTGGAAGGATGGCTAATGGGAAACAACCAGTAATTTTACTAGACTGAAA